CTCTGTTGAAGAAGAGGATTGCGAGCAGATTTTTGTTGTTGTTGTTGTTGTTGTTGCCAGGTTTATGGAGCGAAGGCCAAAGCCTGTAGACAGATCCAAGTGGCTTTGTTGGGGCAGACACCCAGGTAACTCTTAAATTGTATCCTGCCTTTTGGAACAAGTTCTGACATCACTTGCACCGGTGCAGCCGGGGTTATTCATTTGGGCTAAGCAAATTAAAAGGTTCTGCTTAGCCTCTCCCTTACTTTGCTTTTATACTGTCAGTGTAATTGAAGCTACTCCTGGTTTATAACTCGACGATGGGGAATTGCATCCAGACAGCGTGTAGTGACGCATCAGAATAATGGCGTAGATGAAGGGCTAATATTGAATTCGGCGGTTATACTAATGTACACCTGTTGAGGATCTGGTCCAGCGAGATGTGCGCAGGCGGCTGGCGAGCTATCAAGGCCTCGAGACAGCGCGGGTTTCATCCTTTTAACGCAGGGAGGGTTTCCCAGGAGGTTCCCCGCACGTTCGCGTTGCGGTGAGGAGGGAGCGCGCCCTGCCCCTTGCTGGACACGGGTCCTACTCCATGCAAGCCTACGCACGATGCTGCTCCGTGGTGGCTCTTTCCAGCCCATCCCTTGATGGGCAGCGTGTCCGCCGGCCAAGCCGCGAGGAAAGGGCGGGGTGGCTGCGTACGTGTGTGCCAAAGTGTCGCCGCCGCGAGAGGCGGCACGAGAGGGGGTTCGTTTGCTCGGTAGGAGCAGACGACGTGCGGGGACGAACCAGCGGAGCGTTGCTAACTCCCGAGGTGATGCAGTTGCTCACGTCCCTCCGGAGCGGAGCGAATGGAGGGGTCCTGCGCTGGGGAAGGGGGGGCTGCAAGGTGGGCAAGATTTTCTTTTCTTTTCTTTTCTTTTCTTTTCTTTTCTTTTCTTTTCTTTTCTTTTCTTTTCTTTTCTTTTCTTTTCTTTTCTTTTCTTTTCTTTTCTTTTCTTTTCTTTTCTTTTCTTTTCTTTTCTTTTCTTTTCTTTTCTTTTCTTTTCTTTTCTTTTCTTTTCTTTTCTTTTCTTTTCTTTTCTTTTCTTTTCTTTTCTTTTCTTTTCTTTTCTTTTCTTTTCTTTTCTTTTCTTTTCTTTTCTTTTCTTTTCTTTTCTTTTCTTTTCTTTTCTTTTCTTTTCTTTTCTTTTCTTTTCTTTTCTTTTCTTTTCTTTTCTTTTCTTTTCTTTTCTTTTCTTTTCTTTTCTTTTCTTTTCTTTTCTTTTCTTTTCTTTTCTTTTCTTTTCTTTTCTTTTCTTTTCTTTTCTTTTCTTTTCTTTTCTTTTCTTTTCCTTTCTCTTCTTTTCTCTTCTTTTCTTTTCCTTCTTTTCTTTTCTTTTCCCCTATGCTTCTTACTGAAGTTGGACAAAAATCTCAACACCTTGGGAGCAGGCTAACAGTGGTACGACAGCTCAATTTAATAGGATCAATTGAATGGAAATGGGAAAAAAGGGGATGGTGCACTCTGGGCTAACAGTGCCTTTTTTTTTTCCTCTTTCCATGTATCAGCCAGGAAACAAACCCTTCTACTTCAGGGCAGAATTTACCCTGTAAGGGAAGCTACAGGGAAAATTCTTCCAGCAGGTTACGTCGAGCTTTTAGTAACGAATAGTGGGACCTCTTTGGGGTTTTTATTTTGGGTTTTTTTTTCTCTCCTGGTGAGATCTCTAGGGTCTAGGCCAGCTATTAACTGAGCACAGGAGGAGGGAAGGTTTTTAGAGAATATCTTACCCCGTAATGAATATTCTTCTTGTGTCCCTAAACCTGCTAGCAACAGTGTTAAAGGCATGACCCTGGAGTGGGCAAACCACCGATCTTCGAACAGCCTCATGATTCCCGTGCCAGTTATTTCTTTTTCCCTGTAAAAGCTGGAGGAGGAGAGAGCAGCCAGGCTCCTCTGCTGCCATACAGGGAGTGCGGAATGGAAGTTACAGGCGGCTTTTTGCAGTTCTTGTTGCCTTCGGTATGCAAAATAAGTAATGCAAAAATATCCTCTGGTACCAAAGGGCTCGAACGTCTCATGCAGAAATTTGCTTGTGCGAGTCTCCTGCCAAATTTGACAGCAACTCAGTATGGGTCCTTCACTCCTGAATTCATTTTCCCACTTCCCTACAGCAGTAATAAAGGCACAGCCCTCACAAGGTCTTTCTGGTAACATTTTTCTGATATTATGATGTTTTCATGTGTGCTGATCCAATATATCGGACTGTATTGCAGCGCCCGTTCCCATTGCCACGCTGAACCTCATCTTAACCCCCTGTTATTGCTATCCGTAATTAAAAGTGGTTGCTTTAAAAATACGCAGCAGGTACAGATACTAAATATGTCCCTAAAGGAGTAAATCAGCCCTGGAATAATGATATGAGAAAGAACAGAAAATGTGCTGGAAGAATTTCAGTATCTATAGGAACTACTTGCTGCTAATTTTTCCTTACGCTTGGAATCAAATCAGGATGCATACGTGCTCAGAGGGCCAGGACAACCTGTTTTGTTTTGCAAACAGCTTCAGTTCAGATTGAACCATTCAAAAAGCCAAGTAGGAATGTTCACCTTGGGGGTGAAGGGGTGGAGAAATCGGGCGTTGAGTTTGAAATTCGGTTTTGTGGAAAATGCAATGCTTCCCCTCCAAGCAGGACTTGGATGGAATGGTGATTCAGCCCCCATTGAAGTCAACGCCAGAGTTGCTTTTGATTTAATCAGAATCAAACCCTATGGGATTATTCTCACTTGCAAACTGGACCGGTCCTATTAAGTAGAGAAACCACAGTGCTTTTGCAGCGCTGCTTCCTTTTTTTTTTTTTTTTTTTTTTTTTTTTTTTTTTTTTTTTTTATTTTTTTTCCTCCGTGTCA